TGGAGTGGAGTGGAGTGGAGTGGAGTGGAGTGGAGTGGAGTGGAGTGAGTGGAGTGAGTGAGTGGAGAGCCGGGCCCCCAGCGGCGACCACGCGCGCCGCAGGCGCTTCTGCAGTCTCTGGACACGCGCGCCGCAGGCACTTCTGCAGTCTCTGGACACTGCGCCGGACACTGCGGAGAGAGCCGGGCCCCCAACGGCGACCACGCGCGCCGCAGCCCCTTCTGCAGTCTCTGAACACTGCGCCTGACACTGCGGAGAGAGCGGCGACCACCTTCTGCAGTCTCTGAACACTGCGCCAGAGAGCCGGGCCCCCAGCGCGCCGCAGGCCCTTCCCCAGCGGCGACCACGCGCGCCGCAGGCCCTTCTGCAGTCTCTGGACACTGCGCCGGACACTGCGGAGAGAGCCGGGCCCCCAGCGGCGACCACGCGCGCCGCAGGCCCTTCTGCAGTCTCTGGACACTGCGCCGGACACTGCGGCGAGAGCCGGGCCCGCAGCGGCGACCACGCGCGCCGCAGCCCCTTCTGCAGTATCTGAACACTGCGCCGGACACTGCGGAGAGAGCCGGGCCCCCAGCAGACCACGCGCGCCGCAGCTCTCTGAACACTGCGCCAGAGAGCCGGGCCCCCAGCTGCGACCACGCGCGCCGCAGGCCCTTCTGCAGTCTCTGGACACTGCGCCGGACACTGCGGCGAGAGCCGGGTGGAGTGGAGTGAGTGGAGTGAGTGAGTGAGTGGAGTGAGTGAGTGGAGTGAGTGAGTGGAGTGAGTGAGTGAGTGGTGAGATCTTGTGTTGTGTGTGTGTGAATGTGAGATGTGAGATCTTGTGTTGTGTGTGTGAATGAGTGAGTGAGTGAGTGACTGAGTCTCTGGAGACTGCTGGGAGTGTGAGTGTGCAGTGAGTGAGTGAGTGAGTGAGTGAGCGAGCGAGCGAGTGAGTGGAGGAGGGGGCGAGGAGGACGGAGGGAAGGAAGGACGGATGCGGGCGGGATGGCAGCCAACAAAACTAGAACCCCACACAGAGATGTGGGGAAAAACCTGAGTAAAACAAGGTGCAAAGTTGGAGGTCATCGCTCTTAGGTTAGAGGCCATCGAAGGCAGGTTGAGAGGCCATCGCTAGTAGGTTGGAGACAAGAAACCACAAGACAGCGAAGCGGTCAAAGTTGGAGGTCTTCGCTCTCAGGTTGGAGGCCGTCGAAGGCAGGTTGAGGGGCCATCACTGGTGGGTTGGAGACACGAAACCACAAGACAGCAAAGCGGTCAAAGTTGGAGGTCTTCGCTCTTAGGTTGGAGGCCGTCGAAGGCAGGTTGGGGGCCCTCGTTGGTCGGTGACAAGAAACACAAGACAAACAAGACAGCAAAGCAGCAAAGCAGCAAAAGTTGGGGGTCCATTCTAGTGGGTGGAGGCCAAAGTTCAGGTTAAAGAACCCCTCACAAAGTTTGGAGGCCTACCTGCAACCTATAGGGTAGTCTAGAGGAGAACAGAAGGAAAGGCACCGACACACAAGTGTGTCGAGTACCATTTCCTCCTGTTCTCCTCAGTAGTGGAACAGGTACACAGTGGGGCGTCCCCCACTGTATCAGCACCTGCTGGCATCCTCTTCGTTGGACGGGAAATGCCAGAGGTGTCCCGTCCCCCTGTTCCAAACCTTAAGGTTCCATTTGATTCCGAGGGCTACACACACATGTGAGTGAATGGGTGCAAGATTTTCAAATTTCCAAACAAGGGTGGTAGGAGGGCAACACGAACATGACAGAGCGAGTGTAACCAGTTACAAGCACTTTCCAACATGTCGTTGTGTTAAAATTGGCTTTTGAGAGTCCAGTCATGTCAAATAACACAAAATGAAAAACTGTATCTCACTCTTGGGAGAAACAAACTGTAATGTCAAAAACTCTATCTGCGTGTGGTGTAAGGCAATTGGGAGCAAACGGGGGCAAGAGCATTTGAGCCGGCGACTTGTCGGTGAGACAAACAGGTCTTTTTGGTGAGCTATGTTTGCCAGGGTCGTCATTCTTTTATTTTCGTTTCCCATGACCACGGAATGATTGCGCAAGGTCATTGGATCTGCCTTTGCGCTGTGTCATGTTTGGATCACAGTGTGCATTTTTTATTGAATATTGACTGACAGTTTTCAGTCTTGCGGAAATGCAGCAAAACCATGTGATAATCAATTTTGTTTTTACAAAGATTAGCCGTAGGGCTTTTGTTGCAATATCAATATCTAATGGACACCCTGTATGCGGGGTTCTATGGGTGAAGAACCCACATTGTCGAACACATTTTTTCTTAGACCACCCCGTGAAGGTGCCTCAACTTGCAGTTTGTGTCAACACTATATAGTATAACAATAAAACATATTGTTCAACTTCTGATTGTGCGCAGCATGGCTTGGGTGACAAAGAGCGAAAGGTGCGGATGCTGACCAGTGATGCAACAAACTTTTGATCCGTTTTCCAAGATCCTTTTCTTTGAAAGGTTGATTGAGGGAATCCTTTAGTGTCTGAACTCGACGGAATTCAGGTTCAATTGGTCTGAAGAAGATCCGACACGCGCTGCTTCACCCAGCCACGTCCTTAGAATGGGCATGGAACTGTCTACAGTTGTTCACATGCTTCACGGAAGTTTTGGAAGCTTTGCACATTGACATTGACATATTATACACACACACACATATATATATATATAGATGTTCAAAAAAATATTGGTGCTGGGGACAAAACGATCACTCAAACGGTGGAGTGGTTTGTTGATTATAAATTTTGTGGATGGTTGATTTCACATGACTTGTTTGTGGTCAAACTTTACAGTTTTCATGCATTTCAACCATTTGTGTGCTGTGCCAATAGTATTTCGACCCTTTCATGCCAAAAAGACATTTGGGTATCAGAAACATGACATTCCAGTGTCCAACTGAGTGCATGACATCCTGAGGCCCAGGGCAGTATGCCTTGCCAACTTCTTTCAAGGAGGTTAGCTATGCGTTGGGATCTTTTTGAGTCTCCACAGGGTCGACTTGATGATTTCATGTGTCGGCTTGAGAGACATTTGAGGATGGATCATGAATGCATATGCGCGCATTTACCCCGCAGCTATTGCCAATAATGCCCAGGAGGCCAAGACAAAGCCGTGCTATGCTCCGTTCAATTCTTCCTGTGGAGAAGTGCAGGCCCCCCGTTTGCAAACGTGCCCCGCACATTTCAAGTGAACCAATCCAACAGAATGACCTAGTTACTAGCTTCCCTGAGAAAGCTTTTGATCCGTCAAGTTTTTGGAGAGAGAGAGCGAGAGAGAGAGAGAGAGAGAGAGCAAGCGAGAGAGAGATGACGAAGATTGGAGATCAATAGCAAGTTTCTGTTTGATTTTCTTAGTACTTTGACATCATGCAGCGTTTCGTTGTGCCAGCGACATTGGCATGATTGATGGACACAGATGTCGAATAAAGTTGAGGAGCACATGATATACTGTAATGGTATAAAATCATAAACTGTTAGGTGTGTTTGGGAGAGGACACTTGAGACGGAGCTTCCCTGCATTTTGTGCTCAACGTTTTCTGAGGGTGGGATCTCGGGGAAGAAAGACAATGCGCCGGTGGCCTAATCCATGCCGTGATTATAGCTGCAGGTTCTCATCACTGTCCACGTGGCTTGAAACCAAAGCTGCACCGAGCGATCCCCAATTTGCTACACTGCAGGAAGAGGATAACCTTAATGGACAGTTGAAGAGTGACATGTTTGTTGGGTGTTATCAACCATACTACACGAACTTGGAGAGAACCTTCTCGACCATTCCGCCTGGTGCAGTGCAACTTTTTGCGCCATTGGCCTCAAGAATTGTGACAGGTTAGGCCTTGACCCAGCGCGCTACAGCCCCAAAGTACCAGGAGGCGAGACAAAGGGTGCTGAGTTTCACAGGGGTGCCTACTTGTTTTCCATGAGAAGTTCCACTTTTTTACAGTGATGTGAGTGGCAGTTGAACTGTTGCTATCGCTTTTAATAGCTCATAGGTGTGTGGATTAGACATCTGATCTGGAAGATGAGACATGTGGAAGCAGCTGAAGCTCTTTGAGATGCATCAAAAGCGTTTTTTCGTGCCAGCTTATGACCACGGCTTGCCCAAGAAGCACATACCTTTCACGACTGGAGCCTCAAGGTGGACGGATCTCAATCAGGACAGACAAACATGCATCCAATTTGCCTGTTCATGCCTAGGTGTTGGCAACTTTTGCTTCCCCCTCACGGCCATGACTGACGCCGCATTGAAGTTTTTTCCCCGATGTATTTTTGTACGTCTTTGAAGCTTGTCAACGGTACCATGATGCAGAAAGTGCAATTCCCAAGAATCAACACTGTCAGTGACGAAGTACCCGATTTCATTGTTTCCTGTGGCTGAAAGCCACAATCCACTGGTCAGCATTCCACATTCGCCTCATTTTGTACCAGGAGCTTTGCCTTTCTCGGGGAAAATTCAGTTCTGAGCACATGTGAGGACTTCAGACCTGGTCCTGGCGACTATGCCTGCGCGAGGCAAACGTTGGCAGGTTCGCTTTCAGTGGCTTCGAGCAAGACCATGGGAGTGGCGCCCGTTGGGCAGCTCAGCTCGGGAAAAGATATACCTGTACTTGCAAATATGCTTGAATGCACAGAGGTTGAGCAAGATGCTTGTAACCCCAAGTCAAGTCCCGAAGCCACCATATGAAGCATTTTGTTTTGTGTTCTTTTTGTGAAAGGATGATACCTTTGAAAGTCACCCTTTCGTAGCCTCCCTGCGGGATTCGATTGTGAAGTCCAGGCCGAGCAGCGCATGCTCTTCAAATCGACAAGGCAGAAGGGCCCAGCGTGCCGTGTTGGACTCACGGAGTGCAGCTGGACTCACGGATTGTTCGTTGCAAGATCGGTCACAGTCCAACCAGTTTTCAGGGACTTTGAGGACTTGAGTGTCTACATGTTTCCACTAGAGCTGGATAGGTTACCTTTGTACGTACTAGAGTCGGAACTTGGGGCCTTTGAGTTGGCTGCGTGCCCCGTTTTGCACGTCTCGCGCAGTGCGCCTTCAATTCCTCGCGACAGCCAATGCTATGGCTATGATGAGGTTGGATAGGGCTGAAGGAATTTCAGTTTTGGCCAGTTCTTTTGCGGAAAGTCGGCTGAGCTTTGCTGAAAGCCACTGATCATTGCTCTTGCAGTTTTTGGACTTGGTTGGTGTTCCGCAGGCGGGTGATGGCCGCCTGATCCGCCAAAACCGGAAGGATGGCATACAGCAGCTTTCAGGCACCTTAATTTTGGAAGATGCACGCGCTTTGGGGCAGCGATGTTTTTGCTTGGAATGCTTACTCGACTCTTTGCATCAGGTTGTCAAAGGTCCTCTGTGGTTGCATGGGAGTACCACTGGAAGAGAGACGCTCAATGCCCAACAAGTCACAGTCAATCGAATTGCAAACCTCCGAGTTTGGGCAAGGGGAACAAGCTTCTGTTACTCTTGCAAAGAAGAGTTTGAATGAGTTGATTGGGCTGTCCATGAAACAGGATGAGTTTGCTGCTGTTTGGCTCTCAACCGGTGAAGCCTGAAGCCATCTCATGGGGCGCTTCTCAAGGTGAGTCAGAGCGCTGTATTCCTAAAGCACCCACACCCTCACAAACATACAGACAGTGAAACCTTTATTTGCAACCAAAAGAATCCTGCTAAACAAAAGTGAACTAGAACTGGGTTGCCCGAAAAGCAGGTCCTCCATAAAGATCTTGCAGTGCTTCTCTTACATTGTGTCTTTCCGATGTGGACACGCCTGCGGATTTGCAGTCGAACAAGGGAGTATCGACGACTAGCTGCTGCCTACAAGGCACCAGGCACAAAGCCGTGGGTGGTAGAGCTCGGATGTCATGAAGGCGCAGAGAAACAAGCAAGAGATTGACTCTGATTGACTCTAGCTATCAGGTTGGAGGCCATCGCTATTAGGTTGGAGACCATCGCTTCTAGGTTGGAGGCCATCGCTACTAGGTTGGAGGTCATCGCTT